TGTGCCCCATCAGCAAATGAAGGTCCCCAAAACTATACTTCATTCGTGTCATCACAGTCAACTCTACTTTAAGGGGAGGCTTTCTTCCTGTCTTATTTTGAGTGCCTTTGCAACCAGTGGGGCTCATTTTTCCAGCACTATATCTGACAATATTCTGGTGCTCTTCATCATGTTTCAATATTCAATATTTTGGTGCAATTTCACAATTTTCCACTGGTATTTGTAAGGTTTTCAATGATTAAATACTCAAAAGCAGTCCATCTCTCACTCTTCTTAATTTGTCTTGGTCTGGAAGCTCATGTGAAACCTGTACACCATTGGTGACATTGCTGGTTTTTAAAAAAACCATTGGCATAGCTTCTAGAATCATAGCAACCACAGTATGGCAAACTGACAGACGAGTGATGAGTAGAATAAAAATTGGTGGAACTAGTTTTATTTATTTACATGGCTTATAGATAGAATGGTTGTGACTAGGATACTTTGCACTTCATCGTACTGAACCAGAGGGCTTGAATACAACTCAAGCATATAGACAATAGGGAGCAAATTTGAAAGACTATGCCTAGTTCACCTCATCAGGCCAAGCTGAACTAATATATTACCTAACTTTGAATGGATCAGTTAATTTATTTATTCTGTGGCTTCTCTAGCCAAAACATCAGCCTTCTTGAAAACACATGTCACTGAAACATTACATAAAGCAAGATACAAAGGAGATACACATTATGCTATAGGAAAGATATGAACCTGATCAGCCTAGTGTCAAAACTATAACCTTTGTAGTTTATTAGAATTAGAAGATGGAATTAGAAAATGGCAGTTATCCTCCCTATTTCTTATCTTGACACATTTGTGAAAATCTGAAAACACTTCCCTGCAGAATCTATTTCTCAGTGCAACATATTCTCAGTCTTTGTAACTGCCCCCCCTTAAAGGGCAGTTAACCACTAGACACATTTTATAAATGGAGGCTGCTGGTAGAGTCATTTACTAGCAGATATTTTCTGGGGGAGATGGATGGTGTTTAAAAATAACTTACTCTTAAAAAATACTGCCTTTTACTGGCAAAAGATCCAATGTTGGAATTTGGGCATGCTGATTAAGAACTTCCAACACTAAGAATGTAAAGTTGAAAATAAGTAAATAAAGTGTTATGGCAAAAGCCAAAAAATTTCCATGGTGGTCAATAGTTGACCATTTAATTTTATATTACTATACCTTATTTTATTTCCCATCAGTGGAAAGGATATAATATCAAGTGTGGTATTAGCTTAAGAAGCCCTGGTGGAGTAGTGGCTTACGTGTTTGGGCTGCTAACCACAAGGTCAGAAGTTCAAATTCACCAGCTGCTCCACAGGAAAAAAAGGAGGCTTTGTGCTTCTGTACATTCACTATGAATTGGAAATGATTCCATGGCAGTGGGTATTTTTTAGTATGTTTGGATATTAATATAAATCTAAAAGTTAAACAGTTTTACAAGAGAATTAAAAATATTATACTCAAGATTTATCTACAGGCTGATCAAAAAAAACATGAGATGAATACAAATAATTAAGAATAATTCAACCAATTAGTTTTTTTTGCAAGTCTAAACTACTATACATATTTTTTAAGTGGAGATTTGTTTTTTTTTTTTCAAAAAATGTCCTTCAATTGCTGATCTTTGTTAAAAGTTATGCCACTCCAACATGAAGCCAACAGAAAAGGCCTTTAAATCTCAACTTTACTGCAAATCTAACCTCAAAAAGAAAATCTGCAGACAGTGGTTATAGAACAGTAATTGTTGCCATTTCAATTAATGCCATTTCTAGGCCAATCATTGCTCTTTGTCTTTCCTTAAAGTTAATTTTTTAGTTTTTAACATATCTCCCTTTGTTGTTGTTACTAAGTGCCGTCAAGTCAATTCCGACCCACAGCAACCCTGTATAGGTTTCCAAGGAGAAGATGGTGAGCTTGAACTGCCGACCTTGCAGTTCAAACAGCTTTGCAGTCTGGCATTAACCCACAGCGCCACACCAGGATTCCTTTAGAAGATTGTTTTTTTCACCGAAACTACATAAACAAAGACTATTACTGCATGTAGCTAATGCTCTTCATATTACACTAAAGCCAAAGATGCTCATTCCTCTGTAGTCTATGAGCCTCATAGTCAGACACTGGTTATTCATTCTAGTTAATCTTCTTACTCCTTCAAAGACTACTAACACCTCAAAAACAACTAAAGTTTGTTTTCTCATAGTGGTGGCTATGTACTAGTTGACTAGTTTCAACAACTTTTTTAACAAAAAAAATAAGTTCTCATTGAAACTTGATATTGGCAAAATAAAAGGGTGTTCAACAACAGGAGCCCGAACATCCTAAACTGATTCACACTCTTAAGTTCTTTGAGGGCATGGAGAATATCGACTTTACTCTTCTTAATTCTAGTGGCAAGCAGATCATCTTTGCAAAGATATTACTTTGAGGACTACCATACACCTGACCCAAGTCATGATATTTTTCAATGGCCTCATATGTAGTGGAAAGGTGAACAGTGAATAAGGAAAAAGAGAGAAGAACTGGTGCATTTGGATTATGGTGTCTGTGAAGAATACTGAAAATACCATGGACGGCCAGAAGTGCAAACAAATCTATCATGGAAGAATGCCCCTTAGCAGTGACAATCTAAGACTTTCTCACACATACTTTGGACAAGTTATTAGGAAGTACTAGTCACTGGAAAAAGGACATCATGCTTGTTAAAGTAGAGGGTCAGGTAAAAAGAGGTAGACTCCAACCAGACACAGTAGCTAAAACAATGATCTTACAACTGTGAGGGCAGCACAGAAGTGGGCAGTCTTATGTTTTGTTTCACATAGGGTCATGATTTATAGCCAGATCAATGGCACATTACAACAGCAGCAGACTATCCAAAATATAGTATTGGTAGATTTAATGGATACCAATAACTGAACAGATAGATCAAGATTTGAGAATGCCTCACACACACTCGTAAAACATACACAGAGTCAAAGAAAGGTTCTACGTAAAAAGATGACAGTTCTCATTCTCAAGAAACTCAGTCTGTTGCTGTTGATAAGTGCCACTGAGTTGGTCCCAGCTCATAACAACCTTGTATAGAGTTTCCAAGGAGTGGCTGGTGGGTTTGACCCACCAACCTTCAGTTAGCAGTCAAGTGCTTATCTTACAGTGCCACACCAGGACTCCCAACTTCAGTCTAGCAGGGAAGAAAACATGAGCAAATAATTAAAATCTAATAAAAGCTACAAAACTTAGTGTAAAGTATTATGAGAACATAGCAACTGTACTAATATTTTATCTGATAGCTATCACAAAAACTAAACTCATCCTCTTTGTGAACTCAAAAACTTAAGATATATTCCAAATATTTGTTACATTAAGTCTAAAATGCTAAATGTACTGATTTTAGCCCTTTTTCATTATTATATACTACATAAATAGCTTACTATTATGATTATAGTCTCTGGGATCCAATGCAATACCAGAAAAATATTAACAGGAAATCTGTTATTTCATGTTACACTATTTCTCTCACTGTCACACACAAAAAAACATACAAAGTAAAAAAAGGTGAGAACGTTATTAATTAAGGTATGTTATAATACTTCATAATAAAAGAGACTTTGATAAATAAAAGTCTCTTTAAAAATACTAAACCATGCAATCATCTGCAAACCCAATGACCATATGAAGGCTACATTAGTAGGATCATTATAGCCAACACAAGGTCAGCCAGAATATACCAATGCCTACAGAATTCCTGCAGTGAGTTCTATGCTACCAGTTAAGTTTCCTGTGTGTGCAAGCTATACACAGTGTGCAGAATGTGTTGCAACTGTTAATTTATGGATATTATCATCTCAATGAATCATGCTGACACTGCATTGTTGTTGTTGTTGTTAAGTGCCATGGAGTCGGAACCGACTCATAGCGACCCTGTACAGGGTTTCCGAGGGTGTAAATCTTTACAGGAGTAGAAAGCCTCATGTTTCTCCCGCGGAGCAGCTGGTAGTTTCGAACTGCTGACCTTGCGGTTCACAGCCCGAGTCGTAACCACTACGCTACCAGACACTGCATTACACAACACTAAAAACAAGGAGATAAATATACCATTCACTAATACTGAAGTTGTCAAGAACTTCATTCTTCTTGGATCAACTATCAACACTCATGGAAGCAGCAGTCAAGACATCAGAGAACATATTGCATTAGGCAAATCTGCTGCACAAGATCTGCTGCACAAGGTCTTTTTAAAGATCAAGCAAAGATGTCAGCTTGAGGACTAAGGTGAGCCTGACCCAAGCCATGGTATTTTTAATAACCTCTTATACATGTGAAAGCTGGGCAGTGAATAAGGAAGACCGTAGAAGAATTGATGCTTTTGAGTTATGGTGTTAGAGGAGAATATTGAAAGCGCCATGGGCTGCCCATAGAACCAACAGATCTGTGTTAGAAGAAGTGCAGCCAGACTCCTCCTTGGATGCCAGAATGGCCAAACTTTGTCTCTCATACTTCAGACATATTGTCAGGAGGGACCAGTTGCTGGAGAAGGATATCATGTTTGGTAAGGTAGAGGTGGTCAGAGAAAAAGAGGAAGACTCCCAGTGAGATGGATTGACCAAGTGGCACCATCAATGGGCTCAAGCCTGGCAACATTTGTGAGACTGGCCCAGGACTGGGCAGTGTTTCGTTCTGTTGTGCATAGGGTTGCTATGAGTCAGTACTGACTCGGTGGCACCTAAGAATAACAACATTAACCTTAGAAAAGCCCTTTTGAAATGCAAATAATGATGACATAGTAACTTTCACTATTAGATAATTTAAAAAGCTCTCTCTTTATCCACAGGACACTATTCCAAACAGTGTTATTTAGTAGTGATTTATAATAATAAGGGCCTACACAGTGCTTCAAAAGTTTTAAACCCATTTTCATTCATAACCAACATCAATATATCTAAAATTATTGGCATACTTACCACACTGACTGAATTTTTCTTTTAGTTTCTGCCAAGTCAAGTCAAAAGGCAGCTAGAATGAAAAGAGGTATTAGTAATAGATATACAAGGGAGGGAAATTATTTTTAAAGTATTCATTACATATATTTGCTTACATTTCTGACAAATATCTGGTTGCCTTTGGAGCCTATTCTGTCTCTCAGTCCACTTCCCACTGGACCTGATAAAAATCCTCGATCCATATCGATGCTCCTTTCCAGCACAGCTCCTATTCCTGGTCCCATTCTATCGAAGCTGGAACTCATCCGGTCCAGTCCCATCCCTATTCCTCCAGTCATGCTGTTCATGCCAGCCATTCCGCTGCCTGGATTTTCAAAGAGCAAAGGGAGGATTTGGGAATTTGGTGATATTATTTCAAAAACATAAGGAAAAGTAGAAGGAAAAAGAGAAAGAGGAAAGAATTATTTTTGAGAAAAGAAAGAATAAGTTACTTCATTCATGCAATAGAAAATATAAAACAAAAAACTATTTTCACAGACAATGCAATAGTTTCCAAAGAACAGAATTTATTAACCTGGTATACATTTGAATAAATGATAAATCATAATTTTAGTCACAAATGTAAGTATTTTATAAACATATACCTCTATAAAATTCAAATTCATAAAATACCATCATATAAATTATATAAATGCTCTCCCAATCACTTTATCTATTAATATGACAGTACTTTTTATCCTTATTTTCATTTCCCCATTAAGACAAGCTTAGTAAACTACTAGAAGTAAGATGTATGGGAACAAATTCAAAAGCTTACAACTCGAACATATCAAATGTTACTATTGTACATTCCTGCATAACATTCCTTTCCTGGCTTGCTTTTCACACCTCAGTATCTTCACTTCTGTTGCCCATAAAATTTCTCTTCTCATATCAATCTTCAACCATATAAAGATGTAACTTCTACGCTTAATATTATATAGAACTTGTAGAAAGAATAAGAAATTTAATCATTTCCCTGTAACTACAGAGATTCTAGCTCATACTTACTTATTATCTTACTCTATTTTCTGGCCCATTTAACTATACCTAATCTACTTCGTCTCAAAACTTACACTTTATTCTTATACCTAATATCCCCACATATATAACTTCTAAAAATTAGTATCAGCCTTCAAATGGCTTTCTTTGACTAACAAATGTAAAACTATGGAAACAGAAGCATAAACATTAAAGTTAAAGAGGAAGATAGGAAAGTTAGGTTTAATAAGAAAATGACCAACGCTGTAAAGATAAGGAGTAACAAAATGATGAGTAAAGTACAATGGAGGAGTTCTGGTGTGGTGCTGTGAGTTAATGTGCCAGCCTGCAAAGCCATATGAACTGTTAGGTCAGCAGTTCAAGCTCACCAGCCGCTCTTCAAAAACCCTATACAGGGTCGCTATGGGTCGGAACCAACTCAATGGCACTTAACAACAACAAAGTACAATGAAAGTCGATGTCTTCACCCACCAGGATTTTAGAATATACTTTTACTTCAAATTGGCCCTATTTCCTTCATGTAAAGTTTTATCAATTAACAAAAGTCAATAGGGAGAACTCACAACCCATGGTGATGGGTTCAGTAAACACAACCCTCTTAAACATCAACGATAAATCCCCATGGCTGTTGAGTTGATTCAGAGTTACAGTAACCCTATAGGACAAGTAGAAGTGTCCCACAGGGTTTCTCCAATGCTGTACATGTTTACAGAAGCAGATAGCCCACAGCTAGTAGGTTCAAACCAGCAACCTTCTGAGTAGCAGCCAAGCACTTAACCACTGTGCGCAGGGGTTCCTCCAAAGGATCAAAAAATAAATCATGTGTTAAGGCACAGGGAAATAAAGCATAAAATGTATTATTGTAAAAGATGGGAGAAACTCAGCATTCCCCAGTGAAGCAACTACTCTGATTTTTCACAATAAAAGTTTAAGAGAAAATAAGCACCTCTTGCAACCTTAGCCCTCAACCTTGTATTGTTAAGTGCCATCAAGTCCATTCCGACCAGTAGCAACCCTGTACAGGGTTTCCGAGGAGCAGCTGGTAGATTTGAACCACCGACTTTGTGATTCAAACCGATTGCAAGAGGTCTCTAAAGTGTTGTATCTGGAGTAAGTCACTGTGTCTACCTAAAGACACAAGATGTTCAAACATAAAATAAGCCAACCGCCAAAAGCAGTTACAGATACTAAGCAAGGAAACAAAGTTGATGGAGAATCAAAACTTATTCTTGACATATGAACAGAGAAATTTTCAAATTGTTTAGTTGTTAATGAGGCTCATGGACTGGCTGTGTTAGTTCATAAATGTCCAAGAATTACATTCAAAGTTAATTTGTAAAACTAACAGTGAACAAGCAAAAAGGTTTATTTCAAGAACTATGAAAGCTTCTCTAACATATGACAAGACATAGTAACATATAATAAAAAGTACAATAATCACTTCTGCAAAGTCTTTTGTAAGCATTAATATAATACTAAATAAATTCTATTAAAATTTAAACCTACTTAATTCCACATCCTACTGGACCCATGTAGAAGCTCCTATTCTCCCTATAAACCCTCCAATCACTGCACCGCCTAAACAAGGATGTAGAGGTACTCATTTAAATAACCATGCTTTTAAATGTCCAAGATAAGCTCTCTCACAAGATGTACAGTAACTGAAGAATATGAAGTCCTCTGTAAAAAGAGTGCACATACGTAAGCTATTAAAAAAGAGGACTAGCATATTAAAATTTCTGAGTTTGTTCTTCAGGTAATTGTGTGAAACACAGTACATTTTTGTTTTTAAAACAAAAAAAGACAAACAAATTTTGAATAATATAACCTGCAAAAAGAAAAGGAGAAGTATGTAGTCCTACCAAGTCTACCAAAGGAATCTCCAAAGCCTCGATTTATTCCAATATCACTACGTCCAAAATCTCTCTCCATGCTAGTAGTCATGGCACCTCGGTATAATTCTGAAAGTATTACAAGACATATTAAAACTCTTCACGTAAAACAATAAACAGTTCATCCATTTAGGAATATATCTAAACTAAACTGAAAAGACAGCAGAAATCATACTACAAAAATGTTTGTGATTTAACTTACTTCACATGCCTCACATATTATCCAGTCATGGCAGACCGTATGTTTCAGTTGCCCAAATCCCTCAGAAGACATCATAGCACTCATTTCTAAGTGGAGACTGAAGGGATTCACTAATAGGGAAAACTAAATGGAGCACAAACATCTCATTATAGACAGTTACTTACCTCCCATTCGGCCAACTCCTCCAAATCCTCCCATGCTATTCATTGCTTCCAGGCCACCAAACCCAATTCCTATGGAAAAAAGATCAACTTTGAGATCTGTCAGTTATACAGCCAAAAGGTCTATTCTGTGAATGTTAAATTTCACCAGTAAGCTTTTCATCCAACCTATGTGTGCAACAACTTATTACCTTAACTTTTTTTCCCTTATAATTAACCATAAGGTTTCTAATTTATTAAAATATTTTGGTGGGTGCACACAAAAAACAAATGCTTATACATATCTCCTCCAATTCTATAAACTCCTACCAAACCTGGACCATCATTCCCAAACCTCAAATAAAATACTCAGTATGTACTTCCAGTAAATTTTATTTTTATGACTAAATAATGACATAATGAAATATAGCCAAATAGCAATCTACAGCTACCACTTGTCTAACAGCAATGGCCTACTAAAAGAGAAGTGAGGTACAGGAGGAACAGTTCAAAGTGCTACGTCATGGCAATAAGCCAGTCATGAGTCCTACAAAAGACTGGGCATACTTATTAGACAAGAAAGAAAAACCCACTCATCACTCTTACAGTAGTCAGCCAAAAACTATCTAGGCCTTGTGGATGTGGTTAAGTGCTGTCGAGTCAGTTCTGAACCATAGCAACCTGTATAGGGTTTCCAAGTACTGCTAGTGAGCTTGAACCGCCGACCTTGCAATTCAAACAACTTTACAGTATGGCGCATTAAAGCACAGCGCCACACCAAGACTCCGTTATCAAGGCCTAGGTAACCTTTTTTCCCTACTCCTTCTCCAGAACAAACACAGAAAGAAGACCATTGTTTTTGTTGCTGTTGTTGTTTATTATGAACAGACACAGACATACAACTTTAGAAGGTTTAGCGATCAGGCCAGTAAGGAAGGATTCTTCTAAACAGGGAAGCTAAAGGAGTAGTAAAGACACACACACAAAAAAAAAACAATCTATACTTAGGGTGAGGGACATGAAGGGTAAAGGGAAAAACTCTCCATCTGTTTTACATCAAAATGATTACCATAACTACCCTCGTTAATTGGTAGCATGGCAAAAGCATCTCAACAAAGGTTGGAATCTGAGAGTATTAATTAGTTCCTTCAGTTTAAACAGGAATTCTGTGGTCTGGGAACTCTTAAGGGTTCAGCAGGTCAAAGCTATTTTATAATACCTAGACATTAACTGACTATTTTAGTTTCATTCCCTCAGGTGCATAAGGCGGGTATTTCAGACTGTAAGATGTTATGATAGATATAACAAACAAATGCAAAAGTAGTTAAGATAACACAGCTATCTTATATTAAATCAAACATTTAAGGCGATTTACAAAATAGTAAAACTATGCTACTTTGCATTCCATTTTTTCTGAAACATATATTTATAATAACATGTGATAGGCTTATTATTACTTTTAAATAACTCTGCTACAATTTGAGTTTTAATTTAAGTATACTAAATATTAATAAACCTACATAAACAAAAGGTTTTAGAGACCATCAACAACTTTTTGAAAAGTATACAAGGATCCTGAGACCAAAACTTTGAAAACCCATCTCTAAAGATAAACTCTAAGTTAACCCAGATGAGCACACAAATGCCTATATGAAAATCTAGCTTCCTAACTATATATACAAACTCAATTGCTTATGATAAGGTAGCATCTCAACATTTCATTAATGTATATATCCACAACGGACAAGGCATGATGTAAAGCATTCTTTGCCTCAAAGACTTCATAAAATCTGTAGTGCTAAAATGCAACCACACTTTTCCATGTCAGCTACTCATTTCTTTATCAGATTGAAGTTACATCCTAACTTTAAAATGTTGTTGTTGTTATTAAGAGACACTAAGTCGGTTCCAACTCATAGTGACCCTGTACTCCAAGGAGTAGTTGGTGGGTTTGAACTGCCTGCCAACCTTGCATTTGCAGTCCAGTGCTTACCCTACAGCACCACACTGAGAATCCCAAAAAAGAGCCTTTTAAAAAGTATTGTTGTGTTGATGATACAAGGAGGGGATTATAACCTTGGCAATGAAACAATATACAATAGGATGAATGAAAAGCTAATGTTCTCCCAATGTAAACTATCATATAATTCACAATAAAACATAAGAAAGAAAGAGCAGGGAAAAAAAAAAAAAAAAAAAAAGTATTGTTGGTAAGTGCCTTCAAGTCTATTCCAACTCATAGCAACCCTGTATAGGGTTTCCGAGGAGCAGCAGGAGGGTTTGAACCGCCAACCTCTAAGTTCAAACCAACTTTGTACTCTACTGCTTACCCTACAGTCCCACAATTACAGACCAGTAAATATAAGCTTTATTATCTAGCAAATATACTATTTAAAAAGAAATAAAGTTAGCATACTTACCACTCGGACCTAAATTTCCCATTACACCACTTATGTTCAACTGGCTGGCACTAATAGGCTGTCCACCTGGACCAAGTCCCATTCCAATGCCTCCAAGGCCACCTAGAGCACAAGTAAGAATAGGATGATTAAGACCCATATATAACTAACTACAAGACACTAAAATTTTCTAAAAGCTATATGCCTCAATTTTGCAAGTTTAAATCTTGCAGATTTAAAGTGAGAGCAGTGATTCATATTTTCATTAAGAGAGCAGCACTGTGAAGCCTCACTATAATAATACTTACTAATGAAAGTGTTTTATAAAGTAGGTACACTTTATACCCTATCCTCAAAACAAAGATTAGGGCTAATGAAATATCAAGAAGAATTCTAACAAAATTATATTACCTTAACAGATGGTAAAGGCATGCCTGGGTGGAGCAAACAGTTAAGCACTCGACTACTAGCCAAAATGGCAGTTTGACCTGACTCACTGGCACCTCAGAAAACAGGCCTGCCAATCTGCCCTGAAAGGTTAAAAGTCATAAATCTCTATGGAGTAATGGTTCTAACTCTGCACACGTGGGGCCACCATGGGTTGGAATTGACTCCATGACAAGTGACAACATTGTTGTTTTTAGGTGTTGTCGAGCCAACTACTGCCTGGTCCTGAGTCATCTCACAACTGTTGTTATGCTTGAGCCCATTGCTGCTGTCACTGTGCCAATCCATCTCACTGTGGGAGGACAGTGGGGCTCTTCCTCTTTACAATGACCCTCTCCACCTCACCAAGCATGATATCCTTCTCCCTCCTGATAACATATCCAAAGCATGAAAGTGAAATCCTGCCACCCCAGCTTCCAAGGAGCATTCTGGCTATACTTCTAACACAGATTTGTTTATTCTTCCTGCAGTCCATGGTACTTTAAATATTTTTGTCCAACAGCATCACTCAAATGCATCAATTCTTCTATAGTCTTCCTTATTTATTAACGTTCATATGCACTTGAAAATGCAATGATTTCTGAAAGGTATCACATTAGAGGGTCGTGGATATAGTGGGAGAAAATGTGGAACGAAACTCAACATTCTTTAATAAACAGAAACTTTCAAAGACTTGGTTTACTGGTCAGAAAGAGACTGGAGGAATCTGAGACTATGGCCCTTGACCAACCTTCAGGTCTGGAAGGGAACTAACCACCATGGCTCACAATTTTCAGTTAGGCAGTAGAGAGACTAGGTGGTGAAGGGTGGGTGGGGGAGAGGAGTTAAGTATTTTAAGTACTTTAACTCTTCTCTTTCAGCAAGTAAAGTTGTATCATATGAATATCATACGCTCACAATGAAACGGTCAATCATTCAAAATCAAGTAGGCAAAGTCTTCCTAAGGACAAAGTTCAGAAAGGATAATAAGAAGGTGTATGGAGTGTGAATAGGAATCACACACAAGGAGAAAGAAAATAACTGTTACTACATGGATGGGATTGTAATCATTGGGACAAAACAAAGTTTTGTTGAGTCTAAAGCTAATGATATGCTAAGTGTAAAGCTAATGATCTGATCTGTAAATCTTTATACAATTCACAGTAAAAAGTCAAAAATAAAATAAGGTACTAACAAAAAAATCACAACTAATAAAAACATATCATGGCTTGGGTCAGGTGAACCTTAGTTCTCAAACATCTTTTCTTTTCAACAAAAAGAGGTCTTGTGTAGCAGTTTTAATTAATGCAGTATGTCGTTTGATTCTTGACTGTGATGCTTCCATGGGTGCTGTGAATCCAAGGAAAATTAAGTATTTGACAACTTCAATCTTCTCTCCATTTATCTTGATCCTTTTTATTCTTCCAATAGTGAGGATTTTTTTTTCCTTTACATTGAGATGTGATCCATAGTGAAGGCTGTAGTTTTTGATCTTCATCAGTAAACATTTTAAGTTCTCTTCCCTTTCACCAAGCAAGGTTGTATCACATACATAGCATAGATTATTAATGAGTCTTCTTCCAACCCAGATGCCATGTTCCTCTTCATATCAGGCAGCTTCACGAGATTAGCTGCTCAGCATACAGACTGAATAAGTACGGTGAAGAATACAACGCTGGCAAACACCTTTCTTAATTTTAAACAATTCGGTATTCCCTTGTTCTGTTCCAATGACTGCCTCTCGATCTATGTACAGGTTTCTCAGGAGCACAATCAAGTGTTCTGAAATACCTATTCTTCACAATGTTATTCAGAGCTTATCATGAGCTACACAATCAAAAGTCTTTGTGTAGCCAATAAAGACCAAGCAAAAGTCATTCTGGTATTCTCTGCTTTTAGCCAAGCTCCATCTGATGTCAGTAATTATTATACCTCATTCCACATCCTCTTCTGAATCCAGATTGAATTATTAGCAGTTCCCTGTAGATGTACTGCTGCAGCCACGTTTTAATTATCTTCAGAAAAGTTTAGCTTACATGTGATACTATTGGTATTATTTGGATAACCTCTCTTTGGAATGGGTAAAAATAATTATCTCTTCCAACTGGTTGACCAGGCAATTGTCTTCCAAATTTCTTGGCATAGATGAGTGAGGACCTTAAGTTACACATCAGTTGTTGAAAGATTTCCATTTGTATTCCATTAATTCCTGGAACCTTGTTTCCTGCCAATGCCTTCAATGCAGCTTGGACATCTTCCTTCGGCACCATCAGTTCTTGATTATATAACTACTTCTTGAAATAGTTGAACATTGATCTTTTTGTTTGGTACCATTTCTTTCTTCTGTCTGTCATACTATGGTGGCTTGCATGTGGCTGTGATGCTGGAATCTATGTCACCAGTATTCTACATACCATCTGGTCACCCGTGGTAGACAGGTTTCAGATGAGTTTCCAGACTGAGACAGACTAAGTAGGAAAGGCAAACTAATTCTGAATGTTTAATCATTGAAAACATTATGAGTAGCAACAGAACATATAGTATCCAAAGATGAAAACAACAAAACACAGAAACATATTTAAGGATGAGTATCTCACACAAATTTACAAAAGCACTTAAAATCTTAAAAGTTACTTTTAAGATGGTTCAAATTAAAAGTCAACAATGAAGTAAATGTTACACTAACTATTCTTATCATTGAAATAGTTTTTATTTTGTTTTTTACCTTTATGTGGCAGTTTTCAGGCAAGAAAATTTTTGAGACTTTGAGTTACATGCTTAATGGCATTTAATCTTTAAATCATATTTTTTTAACAATTTTCTTTAATTAGGTTAACATAAATTAACTAAACTGTAAGAGATACAATCTGATCACCTTAAACACAGTAAAACTAACATTTTTGGATGAGAATATTTTACTCTACTGAATCTGAATACTGTTTTAAGCATCTTGCAAGTCAATATACAGAAAAATTGTTAAGGATAAGAAAAACTTATCTATCTAATTACTTTTTTTTTTTTTGAGCTTGTTGCTCTTGAGTCAGCCACTGACTTCTGGTGACCCCATGCATAAATGGAAGAAACTGCTGTCCCACTCCCAGGATCAAACTTCTATGGATTAGAATTTTGTAATCCATAAAGCTTTTAAGTGACTGATTTTCCTAAATAAACCAAGAGATCTTTGTTCATAGCCTTAGTCTGGAATCTGCACTGAAATCTTAGTTACATACAATCCACCACTGACAGGTGATGTATATGCATAAGGTGCACACTGTGGGAATCAAGGCTGATCGCCACTAAGAAGGTTAAGACTTTTACCACTGAATTGTCACTGCCTTCCTCATGTGTTAAAATTGGAAAGCTTAGCACTGACCTCATTACTTTAAAGAAGTATCTTTTTCAGCTTAGTCCCTAAAAGTGGTCCAACTGGAAGCAACAGTACTTCTGACACCCACCAACACTTATGTGTACATCACGTATCCCTAGTTTCATCTCTGATACTTGATTTCATTAAAAACAGCCAGCACTCCATTAAGGTTAGACAACCTCATGTCTTAGAACACAAAAAAAAGTCAAAATGGAAGTAGGAGGACCTGTTTTTAACGAACAGTTATAGTATCAGAGACATCTGTTAATAGGAAATGAGGAGCCCCCCCCCACTTCCAATTATAATAATGATGGGGGTGATGATGGAAATCATTATGTTCCACTGATAATTAAATGAAACAAACTGATTCTATCAGAGTTCATTAGTTTATATAATAATAGGAACGAGTACACAAAAACAAATGCCCCAGAAAGAATACATGTAATATAAAAGAAGGATAAATATAACAAGATACATTTAATTTTGTCTAAGTAATTGAAGAGTATTAATAGTGAAAAAGTAGATTGGAAGGCCCACACAAAGGGCAGTGGGGCTCCATATAATAGGCACTGAGCTATGAACCACAAGGTCAGCAATCTGAGCCCACCAGCCGCGCTATGAAAGAAAGATGAGGCTTTCTGCTCCTGCAAAAGATTTAGAGCCTAAGAAACCCCATCCAGGGTCATTAAGAGTCCAGTGCTTATCCTACAGCACCATACCAGCACTCTAATGTAAGATTCTCTATAACATACAATTCGATTGCAAGGTGACTTAATAGCAGCAACGGAAGGAAGCCAGTAAATCGTGGAATGCTTCCAAAGTGCTGAGAAATAATAACTATCAATTTCTATGTAGCCAGTGAAACAATCTTTCAAGATATTTACAGACAAAATTGAAGGAATTTAAAGACATTTAAAAAGTTTATAAAGATATGCTTCAGTGGGGAAAACAATGTCAGAGTCCATGAAGGTACAGAAGTGATGAAACAAGAAAGGAATTTAAAGTAATGTCTAATTTGTGGAACTGAAGAGAAACTACAACAGAACTAAAGTGGAGAATCAAGTCAGAAGTAATGAATCTGAAGCCATCCAAAGGTCACTTTACTACTGAGCAACAATGGTATTAGTATCCGACTTTAAAAAGAAATATATTCGGGATCAAAGAAAGATAGGGTAAAAATCAAAGAAATAAAATGAACTTTCATGGAAAAGACTGATTATTAAAATCTCTAATGTCAGCCACATGATGTTTAGAAGTGATACATATGAAATAGTAAAAAAAAAACAAAAGAAGAAATATCAGGCAAACACTAAACAAAGTTGTGATATCT